CAACCACAACAACAACAGCAGCCGACGGCGGAGGCGGTGGCAGATATGCTGGCGCTGTCGTCGCTGGTGGTGCAGGACCTGCGTTCCAAACGCGTCAAGAACTACCAGTTTTCGTGGCAGCGCATGCTGGATGCACACGGTGACACGGGCACATTCCTGCAGTACACGCACGTGCGGCTTGCGTCAATACAGCGTGTGAACCCGGTGTCACCATGCACGGATGCTGTTGATGACATCAGCACGTCGCCCCACAGCCAGGCTGTGCTGCATCTCCTTGCACAGAAACAGGACATTCTCGCTGCCGCCGTCCGCGCCAACGAGCCCGCGGTGTGTGATTGTGTGATTGTGTGTGTGTGTGTGTGTGTGATTGTGTGATTGTGTGTGTGTGTGATTGTGTGTGTGTGTGTGATTGTGTGTGATTGTGCATGTGTGCGTGTGAGTGTGTGAATGATCTGTGGTGTCAGCGGACACCCCTCTCACTTGTGCTCAATTGCTTCCATCTCACCACGATCGCACACACACACACACACACACACACCCGACAGGTGCTGGTGCAGTATCTGCTGCAGCTGAGCCGGGCGGTGTCGTCGGCGCTGCCGCACGTGCGCGTGAAGGGCGCACCGGAGATGGTGGCGAGGGAAAGGATGGCCCTGTTCACAGCGGCGCGGCACACGCTCGCACAGGGCCTGGAGCTGCTTGGCCTCGCGCCACTCGACCGCATGTGATAGCGATGGTGGTGATAGCGGGTGTCCTTGAGTGAGTGGCAGTTACACTTGCTTGTGTGTTGTGTTTGTTTTGCTTGTAGCTTAGGGAACAGTAGACGGCGCCAGAGCTCATGTGAGACGTGGAGGCATGAGGGACATGAGACAGGTGGCGAGAGATCAAGCCAAGCACACACACACACACACACACACACACACACACACACACACACACACACACACACACACACACACACACACACACACACACACACACACACACACACACACACACACACACACACAACACACGCACACAAACGCACACACAACACACACACACACAACAGCAGCAGCAAAAACGACCGCGCGTCGTGACGAGCTTCAATCATTTTCAATCCTGCCACATTCCAGGCTTTCGGGGGCCCGAAATGGGTCGTTTTCGGCATTTTTCGTGTGTTTGTCAGGTTGGGGAAGCGAAAACCCACAACAGCCAACAAGCCAAAACACAGCCAGCAAACCGTTGCAGACAGAGCGAAAAAAACTGACCAGCCAACCGACCACAGCGAGACCACAGCCAGGCAGGCAACGGCCTCAAGCAAGCGTGAGCATCCTGTTCAACGAGCATCCTGTTCAGTCAGTCAGCAAACAAACACAACGAAGAAGAAACAAGGTCTGCGGGCAAGTCAATCACACACCAACCGCACCAACCGCACCATCTCTCTCTCCCTCCCCCTCTCCCAGGTTCGATTGCCTGCAGGCTGCACCCCTCGTTGCTTGTTGCTTCCATCCTTCCATCTTTGCTCGGTGGTTGCTTGCAGGCAGCACGACGTACCCTGACCGACCGCCACCATCTCTGTTGACGCTCACAGCTCACCCTCCCTTCCTGCCTTGCTGCCACACGCCATACAATCGTTCCCAACTCACACCGCCACCATCCTTCCCACCTACCGCCAACCACTTCAACCGCACGGCCCAACCAGGACTGCCGTTTCAGTCTTTTGCTGCCAGAGTTGGCAACAACCACAACACACTTACACAAACAGGCGCAGACGCAGGCAGTCGCAGACAGTCGCAGACAGTTGCAGACAGTTGCAGACAGACAAACAAACAAGGAGAAAGGGAGCAGGTCACGCTTGTTGCACACGAGCCAAAGAACGAGCTGCCTGAGGAGGTTGATAAGGACAGCGAAGCAGGCGTTGGCTGCTCAACGCGTGTTTGAGCACACAACACACCCTCAAACAGCACCATGAGCAAGAAGCCCAGCATCTCGCTGTTTGACCACGGCTCCACGGTCAACGTCTGCATCACCTGTGCAGATGGCTGTGAGAACCGCATCGAGGTCGAGGTGCGTCTGTGTAGCCAGCACCCGCGCTCATTCGTCGCAGTGCTTGTGTTTTCTATTTGTGGTGCCATTACAAGTGAAGAGAACATGAACGATGATGATATGACAAGCGCACTTGCTCTCTCCCCTACCATTGTCACTCAACTCGCATGTCGTTGCTACTGCTGATGCTGCTGGTGTTGTTGCGTACAGCGCAACTGCCTCGGCCGCGATATCTGGGACAAGTTCACGTCCGTGTTCGACCTCAACGAGCAGGACTTTTTCGGTCTCGTCTACGAGGTGCAAGCATGTCATGCGTTGTACTGTGTGTGTGTGTGTGTGCGTTGTACTTGTGTGTGTGTGTGTGTGCGCGCGTGCGTTGTACTTGTGTGTGTGTGTGCGGCGTGCTTTTATGTGTGTGTGTGTGAACATGCACATGACGGGATTGCTGTTTTCTCCACATCCCTCACACACATCTTCACGCTCTTCCCTCCTTGTACATCCATGATAGGTCCCAGCATCAAGACGAGATGACAAGACATCAACCAAGGTGAGCCAATTGCTTTGTTCATGCCAACAATAATTGCCAGCTGCCTCGGTCTCCACCGACTCCTTTCCCCTGCCTGTCGGTAAAACTGGATCCTTGTTGCCACATCACTCACCCTCGCATGTGCACCCCACATATCTCGTGCAGACTGAGTACCAGTGGCTCATTCTCGACGAACCAGCACTGCCACAGCTCGGCGAACCCGTCCTCACCGAGGTGCGCATGTGTGTGTCCGTGTGTGTGTGTGTGTGTCCGTGTGTGTGTGTGTGTGTGTGTGTGTGTGTGTGTGTGTGTGTGTGTGTGGTTGCACTTTCATTTCAGCGCTGTACAGCATTTTCCATTCATCGTGATAGCATCTCCACATCTCTGACTCCCATCCGTTGCACGTTACACATGTCACGTCCAGTCTGCCAACATGGTGGAGTGGCAACTGTCCTTCCGCATCAAATTCTACGTCGGGCATGAGCAGACGGCGCTCTGGGACGACTACGCCCGTTACCTCTTCTTCCTCCAGCTCACACACGACATGACCCACGGCCGGTGTGTGTGTGTGTTTGTGTGTGTGTGTGTGTGTGTGTGTGTGTGTGTGTGTGTGTGTGTGTGTGTGTG